TGTGATGCAGCAAGAAGACGATGTCCCATTGACCGTCCACCTCCCGTTCGAGCAAGAGGGGGAACGTTGCCAGCCGGCCCCCACAGATGAAATTCGTGAAGCCAATAATGATAATGAACCTGAAATCAATCGAATTGAAGCAGAACCCGACGATGATCTTGAAGAACCAGAAAATGCGCTCCCTTCGCCCACAGAAAGACGCGAAATTCCTAGTGAATTGTCGTCGAGGCATAGCGAACGGGAGCGCAGGCTCCCCGGTAAGTTATTTGATTACTTTATCGGTTATAGAGCTATTTCTGTCGAATTGATTTCCGCAGATATACCCGAATCGTTTGATGAACTGCCCCAGCGTGCTGACCGAGCCATGTGGATGGCTGCGGCACGAGATGAGTTACGTTCCATGGAGGAAAACAAGGTCTGGCGTGTCTTACGAGATGTCCGAAGGGAGTGAAGCCTCTGAAATCGAAATGGGTGTTTCGGCTGAAGGACGATTCGGCTGGCAATGCAGTCAAACATAAGGCGAGACTGGTGGTGAAAGGATTCCTGCAGAAGGCTGGAGTCGATTACGAGGAGACATTCGCTCCTGTTGCAAAACTGGCCACCATCAGGACGGTTCTCGCGGTCGGAGTGCAACAGTGTTTCCACTTCCATCAAATGGACGTCAAGACGGCGTTTTTGCACGGCGACCGGAAAGAGGCATTGTACATGGCGGTTCCCGACGGTGTTGCAGCGTCCCCTAATACAGTGTGCCGCTTACTCAAGTTCCTGTACGGCCTCAAGCAATCCCCAAGGTGCTGGAACGAAAAGTTCAACGATCGGTTGCCGAGTTTGGGATTTCGTCGATCGCTGCACGACTACTGCCTCTACGTGCGGGTGGTACCAGGAGACGAAATTTATATCATTCTGTATGTGGACGATTTGCTCATCGCTGGGAGGAAGATTGAAACGATTGTGAATCTGAAGAAAGCCCTGAGTTCGACATTCAAGATGACGGCTGCGGTGAGATCAGTCGTTTCCTAGGTATGAAACTAGAATACGACCGTGCGACGAATTCCATGAAACTCTCTCAAGAAACGAATATCGAAAAAATATTGATACGTTTTAAGATGACGGATTGTAACCCGACCAAGACGTCTATGGAGAAGAACCTGGTTGTTTCCCGTGATGGTGAGTCAACCCAAGAACCGTACCGTGAGCTGCTGGGCACAATTCTAGATAGAGCTGGAATTAGGGCGTAACAGCTTTTGTAAACAATGACTTCTATCGATGATTTCTATGAACTCAAGGCATACACACTCAAACCAACATAACCGTCGTGTAGGGGAAGTTTTCCTCTACCCGATGGTGTTGTTGATTTGCGTTGGCGAGCCTTAACTTTCTAGAAATCATCGAAAGAAGTCATTGTTTACAAAAGCTGTTACGCCCTAATTCCAGCTCTATCTAGAATTATGTACGTAATGCTGTGCACCAGGCCTGATTTGTGCTTCCCCGTCGGATTCCTGGGCCGTTACCAACAGAACCCAACAGTTAACCATTGGCAATGCCTCAAGCGTATAGTACGGTATTTGAAAGGGACGAAAACGAAGCACCTGAAGTTTGTACGCGACGAATCAGCGGAAGCGTTGGTAGGATATGCTGACGCCGACTGGGCATCGGATGCGGAAGACAGGAAGTCAGTCAGCGGCTACCTGTTCACGGTATTCGGTAATCCTGTATCGTGGTCGAGCAAAAAGCAGGTTACCGTTGCTACATCCTCGAGTGAAGCGGAATATGTGTCGCTGAGTTCTGCTGTTTCGGAAGCGATCTGGTTGTCCGGAGTGATGGAAGATCTTCAATTGAAGCGGCCTGCGGATCCGGTCGTAATATTTGAGGACAATCAAGGAGCGATAGGTATGGCGAAGAATTGTGAAAGCAAGAGAAGCAAGCATATAGATCAAGATCAAGCACCACTTCATCCGGGACCACATTGCGAATGGACGTGTAGCGGTGAAGTATATCAGTACCGAGAAGCAACTGGCGGATTTGTTCACCAAACCAGTGGACGCGGTGCGCATGGAGAAGCTGTGCCAAGGCCTTGGAATGGCCGATTGAGAGGGGGTGTTGGCGTAGTAGGCAATCAGCCGTCGCTTTCCCCTGTTACGTTGTTGGGAAGCCCTTAATAACTTTTTATTCCACAATCGCACTTCGTCTAGTACAGACGTTTAAATAAACTTTTCTCCGTTTTTTTCTTGTTAAACCGTATACTTCGTTTGGAGTCTCCCGTTTGTCCCTTCAAGAAATTCGAAATAAGAAAACTAGAGCAAAACAACTGTTTTTTTAGAGCCACCCTAACTAAATTCAAGTTTAGGGCAGGCCAATTTAAGAGATACAAAAAAGTTGTTTTAAACAAAGTTGCTTGAAATTAGCTCAGCTATAACTTTGCCCAAGAATGTATACCTTAATTTATTCGAACAAAAAAGTTAGATTTTTTATATAAATGATAATAGGAACTACCCTAGAATTCATTATCATAAAAATGAGGGCCTAACTATAAGGAACAACTTTGTAGAAGAGACTTTTAGTCTAAAGTTTCAATTTCAGGCTCAAAACATATCATTCCACCTAAATCTGCATTCTGGACCACTGTGCAATGGTACGCATTTTACGAGCAGTGAATTCCACAAGTTCTGCAGTCACAACGGAATTGATAACGTCACCACGGCACCTTTTCAGCCTCAGTCAAACGGTCTGGCTGAAAGGTTCGTGGACATATTCAAGTCTGGATTGAGGATCGTAGAATGGTTCGAGCACACGTCAACCAGCTGCGCAGTCGTGGTGGTACTACAGCAACTGTGCGCCACAGTCGTCAACGCCAGCACTCAACGTTCTGCTAGATGCGTGGAGTATTCCTAAAACCACGTTGGTGCCGCCAGCCAGCATCGACTTCGCCGGATCTTCCGAATCCTCAGACCCCGAATGCTGAGTCTACACCGTGGCCACCTATATCGTCCTCGTCGTTAGCTACGTCTACATCAGCATCATCTCCAGAGTTTGCTTCAGCAGATAGCGGACCACCTACACCGGTACAACTTCCACGCCGGTTTTCTCGCATCCGAAGGCCACCGCAGTGGTTTGACTCGTACCACCTCTATTGAAGACAGGATACAAAATAAATTTAAAGAAATTCCCAGATTTTCAGAAAATTATTGAGGTCTTCACACAAGTCCAGAAGTTCGCGGAAGCTTAAACATTTTTAGGACAGTTCAAATAAATTCAGGGCAGCTTCATGAGAACTACAAAAACTTTAAGAGAAGTTTCGAGACTTTGGGAAAGAACGCAAATTACTGGCATCATCGAATAGGGGAAACCAACCCAAAGATGGTGTTAGTTGGCGTAAGCGAGCCTTGAGTCACGAGAAAAGGGTTTCCGAAGTTTTGTTCGCAATAGCTGATGTGCTCTTTTCTTTTATTGGTCGTGATTTGTTCGATTGGTTCCGCTATTTGCCAGCGCAATTGGTTCCCGAGATTATATCCGTCAGACTATGAATATAGCGACTATAGTAAGAAGCCCTTTGAAAAGATTCTCAGAATTTTCATTGAATTAATTTAAGATTTTCTTTTGAATCTCACTCCTTCCCTTGGAATTCTACTCACATTGAAAGCCTCATACGAATTCGAATTCATCAGATTTAATTCTCCAAAAACTTAAGCTCCGGATTCGGTTTCTCCCACAAACTTCTTGAAATTATCCCCAAAATGCCTTTGGACTGTTCCGCTGAAGTTCACTGGAGTTCTGCTCCTCAGAAATTCCTATGAGTTTCGATTTTCCACCACGATTGAAGGCTGCTCGGCCTCTGGTAGTGAATGCTGTCAGAAGCATCATGAAACACCTAATTGTTCCGACCTCTATTTTGAAACCTGGTTACGACCCTGATCAGGAAGACTAGGACTGATGGTTTATGGTGATCAAACCAGGTTAGTTAACGTACCAAAATCCGAATTATGCCCATTTATTCAGAACAGTCTTTGCTTGATTTCCTATTCAAATGGGACTGCTATGCATTTATGGGTAGTGCAGGACCTCAGAGGGAGATATGAGCAGAGAAAACACAGGTCCTTATTACGGGTGTCACTACTCGGTGATAAGGAAGTGATACTCAGAATAAGGGCCGTGATTGCCGTACAAATCAAATGGGAATCACTTCACCGTGACTACAAGTGACAAGTTTTCTCCGTGAAGTGACATACATAATACATAAGCCCCAAAATACTATCGGGCGGCAGGCATTTGCATCTAAATTATCTTGCAACCCTTGCTAGAAGCTAGCATTTCAGATGACTTTTCTTTTCGATTCGATGTAGGGGGAGGAGGGGCATAGTGAACAGGTGGGGCATAGTGAGCATCCCGCAGTTTGGCCCTGGATCTCTAGCTGCATGAAACAAATCAACTGGTAGTAGGTTCAATATCATTATGATATTGATCCTACCACCAACCAATTTGTTCCGAACGGCCGGAAGTCCAAGCTGTGCACGGGATGCTCACTATGCACCCGTGCAAAAAATAAAAAGGAGCTCCATTCATAGAAGGAGGATAATCAAGAAGATATTTTGTATCGATTGCGCTCTGCGGAGCAAAATGGATAATTTAAACCGCCCTTGTACATACCTACTGTACGTACAAAGCAGTAACACCCACCATAATGATATGCATCACTTAATAAGTGCTTTCATTGCACGCAAATGAGTTGCGTGACGTAAGTCCTATGGATAATGGGAAACTGATAGCCTTGCGTCTATTGATATTGTGCATATTATTTACACAAAAGCGAAGAAATCTAATTTACAACATTCTTGTCTTAAAAATAATCAATTCACATTACCTACCTAATCTGCGCTAAAACAAAATCAACTGATATCAAGCTACAGAATTACTATGAATTAAATTTCGTGAGTCGACATTCCAGACGGCAACCCCCCCACTGCCCACTGACGACCAAATAATTCAACCTATGAAAAGGATATAGATTATAACGGGAACCGCCTGCGCCACTTTGCCGACTTCTTCGTCGGTTTGCATGATCTTCTTGATCCTTCCCTGGAAGAGACAGAAACAAAAACAGAAGCCTCACTCAGTGCTGATGCGGAACGCGTATATAAACAATCAAAACTCGGGAACAACAGTAGCCCCCGATGGCGACCACCCACGCATCACTACAGTAATGGTACTGCTTGTGTCTTCTTCGGTAGGAACGCACTCGTCCGGAGTCCGGAGCGGCGAAGCAAGAACCTACCTTCAGCTCCTGGCCCCCGGAGCAGGCCGTCCCGACCCAACCCAAACCACTTACCGCCGGAAATCGTGCATTGTACTTTTTCTTCTTCGACGGCATCACTTTGCACTGGGGTTTTCCACTCTGGCACTGGCTCTAGCGGTCAACTTCCACCGAATCCGGCTGGCCCTTTGCACAATGAACGTATGGAACAACGATTTTTGCGGGAAATCTTCCGATTCTGGGAGTATTAGCAAGATTTTCACTAAAAACCAGACACCGCACAATCAATGTTGTGCTTCTTCTTTTCTTTGACTTTTCTCGGTGCGCTTTGGCGTTTTGTTGGATTTCGTATCTCTGCTCGTTGCCAATTTGAGCAAAGTGGTCCATGACGGATAGGAGAGCTCGCGAGGATGCGGTGTAAGGAGTGTGTCCCGGCTGCCATTGGCGATACGCGTTGTGGGACTGGACAATTTTACTTCCCCAAGATTTCACCTCCACTAGATCAATTTATTATCTTTTCATTGACTTTTTTCTCTTTGGATCGCCACGACAGGCCATGACTATCTTTTAAAATATTCGATCGAGCTACACAATTCTCCACATTTTTGACCTCATTCGCACTCCAGCAGCTAAATTCCTGGCATGAACTTCATCGAAGAGAAAGACATTTCTAACATATAGGGGAAATGCAGGTAATGTCGGCCTTAGTGTCCCTAATTTCAGGCATAACATTTGATAACGGCACAAAAGCAATTGTAAACAAACTTTCTAAGAGAAAAAGTCGATAGTTGTCCCTATCCGATAATGTTGTTGGTTTGCGTGGGCGTACTTTGGTTCGCGTGTAAAGGGCCTTAGAAAGTTGGTTTACAAATGCTTTTGTGCCGTTATCAAATGTTATGCCTGATTTGGGCCCATACATAAATTCAGCAATCGACAAAATTTTCAATAGCAACCAAAAATATCCATTAGTAACGTCCCAATAACACGTTCATCTAGAAAAAAAAACTGATAAATAGCAGATTTTTCGCGATGGGCCCAATCTTAGATCCATAGGCCAACATTAGAGACACTTACCCTACTCAATATCAAGCTGAACAATGCATCGATCGATTCTCTCTTTCGTTAATAACTTTGGTCAGAACCATTTCTTGTCGTCCTAACAAACATTTTTTTTGCTGATTAAAGACTGAATAAGCCGCTTTCAACTGAAGAAGCATAATTTTGCCTGAATTAGCTCTGCTTACAATGTTTGTTGGGGTGTTTGTCGTATTATATAGAAGCTAGGTAGTAATAGCTATAGTCCCTATATTCATAGTCTAGCGGATAGAATTTCGATCTATCAAAAAGCGGAACCAATTCAATATATGTAGACCAACAATTGAAAAGGTCCTATCATTCTTTCCTCGACAATATAGTGACTAGTAATAGCTCCTTATAAAACACAATGACACCGTCTTCAACCAGAGACTGCACATACCTCGGCACAGACTGAACACTTAACACTAACAACGGACAACACACAACACGCCGCTAACCACACCACCACGAAGCCTGTGAGCTGAAGATAGCTGGGAATCGAGCTGGGAATGTCTTAAAATGGCCGTGAGGATACGAAGAGAATCTATCATTGTTACTCAAGACTAAAGTGCCTGAATTTATACTCAGGACCTAATGCATTGATCAGCTTGATAGGTAGAACCAACAATCAATACGAAACTAACAATTTTAAATTGGCTCACCACTTTAGTAGCCTATTGGTCCCAAGCAAACGATTAACGTACCCTATTCTAGTTGAAATTATATTACTACACTATGTTTGTTTTGATTCGCTATGAAAGTTTGACAGATAACATCAGGGGTCTGTGGATTCATGCAGAACATGCAGGGGTGAGTGAAATAGCTTGGGACTGCTTGGGACCGTTGTTCTGGTACTGAGTGAGCCAAAAATAATAATGATTTTCTTCGGGACCCAGTGGTCTTAGAGTTACCTCTATGGTAGAACTATCTTTCTCTTCGTTGAAATTTATGCTCAGAATTAAGCTTTTGGATTGGCTATTTATAAACTGTTTTTATTTGCCCAACAGATTGCCGTAAATGTAAGGAAGCCACGAGAAATTTACGGTTTTCTGCGTCATTGGAATCGTTTTTTTCTCAGCCGTGAACTGCCGCATGTGAAAATTGATAATAATTCTGCTTATGCAACGACAAATCTTTCAGAGAGACAACATCGGGTAGAGCCTAGGGGCAGATCACTTGTGGTGCATTTATTATAACAAAAAATGAAGAGATGAACTAGCCTTAGGCTAAAAATCTCTCTAATAAAAAAAATAAATAAAAAATATAACAAAAAATAAATAAATGCATTTTTACCAGACAAAAAAATAAATGCATTTTCTCAGTGCATTTTTTGTAGCGTGATGCTCTAAGTGACAGTTCCTACCAAAACATGTTGTTTTTCACATCGGTTCGCTCAAATCCACACTCCTGACTCGAGAATTTTTTTTTTCCTGAAGCTCCTCGACCTAGAATGCGGAAAAAAACCGTCAAAATTCCCTGTAGCCGATGGGAGCATCGGACACAATAAACTCTGATGAAACCTCCGTTGGCAGCACCGAAAATCTCCATCGAACTCTACATCGAAAACCTCCTCCGAAATCGTGCTAAGCCCGCTTCACCGAGAACACGAGCAAACCCCGTCAAAATTCCGTTGAAGCTTCGTTGGCAGCATAGCAAATCTCCACCAGAATCGTGTGGAAGCTCCTTCACCGAAAACACGAGGAAATGATTTAGAAATTCTGGAACATCCGTTGTTAGCACCGACAATATCCACCGAAATCGTACTTCTCGGCCGTACACACCAGAAAACTGCATCGAAACTACCTGGAACCTTCGCTGACAAAATCAGAAACCTCCACCGAAATCGTGCAGATCCTACTCCGCTGAGAAAACTCCGTCGAAATTATTTAGAATTTCCACTGGAAGCATCAGAAATCGCCACCGAAACCGTGTGGAACCTCGTCCGCCATGAACGCAAGAGAATGCCATCGAAATTTTGTATTTCCATTTTTTTTTTTGAATTGGTCATACTGTATGTAATTGTGTCCGACGACAATGGGTGGAAACACCGTCGAAACTTCCTGGGAACCTCCGTTGGCAGCGCAGCATATAAATTGTCTAGTCCACCGAAATCGTGTGGATAGACGATTTTTCTTATCATGTTTTGTTTGTATATCTTGCTTTGTTTTGACGTTCACACCCCACTGAATGGTTGATGTAAACGATGAAAATTAAATGCACTTTATAAAAATTAAATAAATACATCGTCAATAAGCATTTTAAAAGTATAACCAACAATCAATACGAAACTAACGATTTTAAATTGGCTCACCACTTTAGTAGCCTATTGGTCCCAAGCAAACGATTAACTTACCCTATTCTAGTTGAAATTCTATTACTACACTATGTTTGTTTTGATTCGCTATGAAAGTTTGACAGATAACATCAGGGGTGTGTGGATTCATGCAGAACATGCAGGGGTGAGTGAAATAGCTTGGGACTGCTTGGGACCGTTGTTCTGGTACTGAGTGAGCCAAAAATAATAATGATTTTCTTCGGGACCCAGTAGTCTTAGAGTTACCTCTATGGTATAACGCCCCTAGTGTAGAGCCAATCACTATCGGCACGGAATCAGTCCGCATCGTGCTCTCTTGCCGTGCGGATCTATTTGCTTTTTGCTGAAGGAAGTGTTACTACTACCTAAAGCTACAACAAATTTAAACAGCACTTTTCAGTGCTCAACATGTAAAATTTCTACCTTGTTCAACTTTATTCCTCTTCGATCCTTGTTTGGACCCTACCCGAGGTAATCCTTCTTGGATATCGATTTGGAAAATTCCTCTTCGATCCTTCAGATTCTTATAGTAATCTGCTTGGAAGTCGATTTGGATAAAAATTTACTGCCGCCATGGCGCCTAAACGCAAAAGAAAGGGGCAAACTCTTGACCCCCCTTCTGAAGAAATTAATTTGAGTAATCAATTTGATTTGCTCACGGATGATGAGAATGATCCATCATCCAAGAAAAATTCTAGTAAACTTTCCCGGCTTAATGCCAAGAAGGAAAAGATTCCCCCTATTGTGATAACCACTTCCGATTTCCATGCTCTTCGCATGGAACTTTTGAACTTCGTGAAAGTTAAGTTTTCTCTACAAATTGGACGTCGGGGTGAATGCCGTGTATTGGCTGAAACCTTGGACGGATTTAAATGTCTTCTCAAGTATCTTACTGAGAAGAAGCACAAATTTTTTACTTACGACACCAAAACTGAACGTGTGTTCAAGGTTGTCATGAAAGGACTGCCCAGTGGTGAATCCCTGGATCAGATCAAAGATGAACTGGCAAAATTACTTGGAGTTGTGCCACTCCAAGTAATCAAAATGAAAATGAAATCCCGTCCTGGCGATTCACGCAACGGGATTTCTAATGATTTTTATTTAGTTCACTTCAAGTCTAGTGAACTAAACAACCTTAAGGCCTTAGAAAAAGCTAGCCTTATGCTCCATGTCCGAGTGAAGTGGGAACACTTCAGGAAGACTGGAGGAAATTTCCAAAACCTCACTCAGTGCCGGAAGTGCCAGGGTTGGGGCCACGGAACTAAAAATTGCTACATGCCAGCTAAATGCATGAATTGTGGTGATTCCTCTCACGCAAAGGACGACTGTCCTGTGAAGGAAGATCCTAAGAAATTTAAATGTTCAAATTGTGGTGAAAACCACAAATCCAATTTTTGGGAGTGTAAGACTCGCAAAGCGATCCTACAATCTCGTTCTAACCGTCAGGTAGGAAACGCTCCACGTTTCCGACCAGGTACAAATTCCTCTGCTGTTAACAACGGTCAGCGAGGAACAAATTCTACATTCGTACCCATAGGTACAAATATCACCCCTGCTTCAAATTTTTCATCTGTACCTACTCCCCTCGCTGCTAACAATGTTCAGCGAGTTTATGGAGCTACCTATGCTGCTATTGCAGCGGGTAGAAATCAAAATACTAACCAAAGTAATTCTAACGGAAATTTTGACAATTTTGACTTAGGAAGCATTACTGCCCCTAAAATGGAATTTTTACAGAAATCATTAATTGACATGATTTCTGATATGCTTAAATCTAACTCCATGTTTGATGCTATTCAAACTGGAGTAAAATTTGCAAATAATATTGTCATGACTTTAAAATTCAGTAATGGATTTTAAAGCATTAAATATTGTAAATTGGAATGCTCGATCTCTTAAAGATAATGAAGACGAGC